TAGGCCTGAAGTTACGAATAATATTCAGTTTCAAGAGCAGTGCGAGGGTGCTCGTTCTCTATCAGCGAATGAAATACAAATCCAGAACCAGTCACATTCGCGGATTTCCAATTTCCGCTTTACAGTATCACTGAATAATACTGAGAATAAGATCTGATGTTAAATGTAGATGCATGAGTCATAGACTGATTAACTCACCGCCAGTAATAATCTGAAAGAGCCACATAATAGACATTTCATAGAATACGTCAATATGGCTTGTACAGCAGAATGTTGGTCTCGTGTACCCAGTGTTTTTTTCTTGGAAATTTATAGCGCTTGCGCACTGAGCCCACATCTCCGCCTAAAAACACCTCTGAAGCCCTAGAATTTGTTTATTAAGCCCATTTGGACTCTGTTGAAATTGGAACCTAACTCGTCGAACCCTCATTTGTTCTGATGAGAATAAGATGACAGGTCCGTTAACATTTAAGACAAAGGTTTGCAGGTGATCTCTCATTAGCAAAACATCAGTGCATTTGTACACAGATATCGATTGAATTTTTACACTTGCCTGAGACGTAAAGAGCAAAACCAGGCAACATATCCACGATATACTAATTGCTAGATTTTTCAGGAAACATTTAATAAACAAGGCTCTAATTTACAGATGAAACGTGAGACAACTGTTGTAAGCGGAGACAAGCAATTTGAAACTTGAAATATCTTGTTTCTTATAACGACTTTATGAAAATTGAAATTAACTATAACTGCTGGATGTGTTAAGAAGGGGCGTGCATGCTCATTCATCGCCGATTTGAAACCGCGTTTGATTAAAAAATTTCCTGGAACGAAGCTTTTTAAACATTTTCCGGCGAATACTTCTTCAATGGAGTTATGATCAAGTCGAAAACATGCTCAGGAACATGTTTCGAATTCGTTGTTTTTAGCCTACGTCAGACAATCCACTAGTCAACAGGAATTATTTAAATCTAGAAAATTTAAAAGCACCGTTAGGATTGAAAACATACGAGTTCATGGGAAATACTCACGGCTTTCGCGAGGTGCTGCTCTACCAGCCCACGAGTACGGAATATGAAAACTTAAGATCATGGCACGTTTCAAATTGTGTGCTCAACGCTTTCCTAACCATTACCGCTATCGTCTTAAACGGCATCACAATCCAAGCGATACGAAGAACTTCGTCATTGCCACAACCCCTTAAAACATTGCTTCTTAGTCTTGCTGTTTCCGATCTTGGTGTTGGTTTACTTGGCGAACCTTTCTACGTTGGAATACTCGTCAAATGGTTGCAACGAAACAACACGACTGGTACTTTTTACACCGCGTTTCGCTTTACCTTGTATTTATTTTCTGCCGCTTCATTTTTGGGAGTCATGGCTCTGAGCGGGGACAGATTCCTTGCTGTGCACCTCCATCTCAGATACCAGGAACTTGTGACTCACAAGCGAGTTGTTGCTGTGGTAATCACAATGTGGGTGTTCAGTGCATTTTTTTCCTTACTTTACTTGTGGGTCTCCACGAATATTTCTCACATAGTGTTTGCCATCAGTGGAGTAGCTTGCCTCGTAGTCTCAGGGATGCTTTATTTCAAGATTTATTTTGCTGTACGGCGCCATAGAAATCAAATTCAAGCCCTACAGGTACACCAAGTAGCACAGATTGGCCAAATAGCAAATGCTGCTAAGCTGAGAAAATCTGCAGTGGGTATATTTTACGTTTATCTAGTGTTTTTGCTTTGTTATCTCCCGCAGATATGCAATTTTGTTGTCGTTGCAATCTGCGACTTAAGTGCCGGCGTAAAAGTTTTTTCCATGTTTTCAATCACCTTGTTATTTCTCAATTCATCGTTAAACCCTGTTATTTACTGCTGGAAGATGAGACACATTCGACGCGCTGTCTTGGACATGCTGCGAAATGTCATTCCAAACTGATCACAGCTGGGTAAAGGCCTAACATGCGATTGTGGGTCTGTTGTCCGTTTTGATTGGGGAATAATTTTCTTCGAAACTGGCTTGAAAAAGGCATGAACACAGATGCTATTAAACTTTGCAGTGCATTTTTCCGCATGTATTTTTTACAACTGCTATGATTCCCTGCATGCAGATCTCATAAAGGCAACTGGCCATTGTGTGTTCAACGCTTTCTAAGCCATCGCCGCCATCATCTTGAACGGCATCACAATACAGGTGCTAGGAAAAACTTCCTCGTTACCAAGGCCTCTGAAAACATTAATTGCATCTGGGTCTTACTGTCTCTGATCTTGGTGTTGGTTTTCTTGTCGAGCCTTTCTACTTTGGGCTACCCGTCGAGTAGTTACAGCGAGACAATTCAACTGATGCTACATGCACCACGTTTTACTTGAATATGGGCCTTTTTTCTGCAGCGTCATTTTCAGCGAGTGATAGCGTAGCCAGAATGAGTTATAGCAGTTAGTTGCGGAGGAAACACTTCACTCGTTCGGTCAGCAGTCGTTCGATGGATCGTAAACAATTTTTTTAATTCATAACAGTTAGGTTAAAACAGCCGATTGATTGATTATTACCGCGGGCTTAAATGATTCGCACAGCGAGCTATAGCGAGCGACTACAGATTCAAATGGCTGTTGTTTTCTGCTGGAAATCACTCAATTTGCTCACGAAATGACTGTTTTACTGGCCATGTTATCTATTCATGGATATTTTGGATGCTGGATGGGTTTTTCTTTCTCACTTTCCACTGAGGTCAGGAGATCGCTTGGCATTTATCTACTACTTACTTGGTTATAGTTACAGTACTTACATTCCAGAAAACTTTTTCCCCTCCCCCTATTCTATGCATATGATATTGTTTAAGCACGATTTAAGCACGACTGTCAAGTTGCTTCTGCGAGATATCTGCTATTGGAGTTGTAAAGTCTTCCTAATTTGAAACCATGCTGTGAGACATTTTATAAATTTCATTGTTTTAATTTCACTAATCTCTAAACAATAACACCTGAGTTGCATGCTTTGACGAAGTTGCTGTAAGTTGCATATTGTAAACAAATAGCTATATGTTTCTGTCTAAAAATTATAAAACTGTATTTGTTAATACTGCCAGGTGAGTTTTGAAGTTTTCTGTGTTAGTAGGAACAGCCGCTTCATAGACTGCTAAAATTACTTGTTTTGTTTTGGTTGGAAACCAAGAAAGATCAACAAACCATTTTATGCTTTTAAAGCGTACAGGTTTTGATATCTGACGCGTCCATAATGTGTTTACAAAGTATGGAGATTTCCTCGTTTTGTTAGTTCAATTTTTTCGGTTTGGTGAAATCTTTGGGTGAATTTCTTTAAAGGTCTGGTGAAACTACGGTCGATAAATTGCAAAGCCATCGGCAGAAATAATATCCAAATGCGCTTTAGCGGAATATCGGAAGCTTAACTTGAACACCGCATGTCTTTGAAATTTTGGACGTCTTTCTGCTTCTAAATCCAGTCTATTTCCTGGCTTTATGTTGAACTATAATCCGTTCTTAAACCAAGTTTCTTAACATTTCTTTCATTCCGCCATCTTTCGTTGCGAATTTTGTGCTTTAAAGGCGAACAGGATTTGCTATTTGACACTCGCGCGTTGATTTGCATATATCTGTGTTTATAGAGATTCCCTCGTTTTATTAGTCCAGGTTATTCAGTTTTATTTGCTTTTAAGGTGGGTCTGTACCCCAAGTACATTTTTTTTTTTTAAAATTGTCAAAAGTTGCGCCTTATTCTACTCATCAAAATTGTAAAAAAAATTCACCGTGCCGTTTTTGAATTATAAGCAGTTAAAGCTATAATTAAGGGTATTTTTAGCAGGTCATACTGTTGCTATGGTAACCTGTTGTGTCACGAAAATGATAACGACGTGTTCACCAATGATATGTTACAATGACTGCAGCATCAATTGATAAAGAGTGGTTATAATGACCCATCAAAATCTAAGTCTTGGAAAGTGCTGGGAACTGTTTTGAACCACCTTAAATTCTTGGTACTTTTTAAGAGGCCTCATAGCTACACTCTGCAAATTGTATAGATCGATAAATCCCACTTCGAAATCAAGCGTGTTGTAGCTTTGTTCATAAAACAAAACTAAACTGTGGTTCCGTTCTTTAATAGTTATGAAGAGAAAATGTAAATTTTGTGCTGCACATCATGTTAACTTAGTATGCAAAGCTTTTTAATTCATCTTTGAACCCTGCATGTTATACAACGCTAGAAGATGAGACACAGTCGGCACGCTATAATATACTTATCATACTGCGAAATATGTCTCCAAATTAGAACTGGATGAGGAGAGTGAATGCGTGGGTTCAGTTGTTCCAAGTGCGGTTAACGCTATCCGATGGATAAGTGTTGCCAAAACAAACTACGCTATCCATCCTTTGAACAACTGGGTCCAGATGATTTAATTGACACGTTTTCTTTGATTCGATTAACTTTTTAACAGAGTTGCTTGACTGTAGTTATTAAATTGTTATTGTCTTCGTTACATTTTTCATATCTTAATAACGTCTATTAAACCCAGCAGTAGCATATAATAGTCAGTTTTCTTTGATCTTAGGGAGATTCAGAATTCTGAAGCGGAATTTGAATATTTTTCCACAAGCGCCTTTATAGCAGACTAAAGAACGTTTTCATTGGTGTACAGTGAAGGACTGACTATTGTAAGCAGGTGATATGAGTAGATTCATTCACGTTCCCTTTCCTTTATCGAGCAAACAAACAAAATGGCAATTCGTCAGTTCCACTATTGTTGGGGCTAAGCTTGAAATATCGACCTGCAGAGGATTTAATACAATTTGTTGCAGATCAGACTGTCTTCGCGTGTAACGAAACCTTCTGATTTTGTGAATAAAGTACCGCTACAAAGATGTTCATTGTCATTTTTATGGATCATGTTATTTATTAATTCATCTGCTTTCACCTGTTATTTAATGCTGGAAGGTAAGACACATTCGGCACGCCGTTATGCCTTGTTATGGGTATGGTCAGAAGTTATAGCAAGAAGAGGCGGCAGGTCAATGACATATGTATCCTGCTACTTAGATGTGTCGGGCAAAATTGATTTAACTGAGCTTTTATTTCAGCCGGCTGAACTGTAAGACATCTGTTTTAGACAAAGAGAGGGAATTTGCAACTTCCTAAAATAAATATTTTGTCTCATGATAACGGCTTTATGAACATTTCCGTAAAGTATTAAGTGAACGAGTGTTAAGTGCAAAATTTGGAACGAAATTTTCCTGTGACTGCTTATTCAATGGAGTTAGCGTCAAGTCATAGACGCGTATGAGAACATTTGTCATTTTTAAACTGCGTCAGATAATCCAGGAGCTCACAAAGATTATATAACATACAAGGTTATGAAAAATTCAGTTTGTGAGGAGTTGCTGCTGTATCAGCCCACGAGTACGAAAGATGAAAACTTAAGATCATGGTACATTGGTTATAGTGTCTTTAACGCTTTCCTTACCATTATCGTCATCATCTTCAACAGCGTCACAATCCAGGCGTTGAGAAAAACTTCATCATTGCCACAACCTCTTAAAACATTACTTGTAAGTCTTGCTGTCTCTGATCTT